TGAAGTAAACAATTAGTATTTATGGCCTCTGTCTCCGTAGCCTGACAAAAGAGAACCGATTCATCCACAAAGAAAATATGGGAAAGGGGCTTGGCAAGATGGTTCACCATAATCCTCTGAATGCGTCCAACCATTCCTGCATTATGAAGTAGGGATGAAAAACCCTCGTCACAAATTAAGAACAAGAAAGGCGATAAAGGGTCCCCTTGCCGAAGTCCCCTACTAAGCGTGATAAAACTCGTGGCCTCACCATTAACTACCACACTATAAGACATTGTTTGCACACACTTCATCACCCATTGGCAAAAAATATCATCAAATCCCAATTTGTGCAGCATAGCATTCAAAAAGGGCCATTCAACTCAGTCATAGGCTTTTGCCATATCCAATTTTAGCGCCACAAAATTAATACCTTCATCATTTTCTTTTTCATGGAATGTAGGAGTTCATGAACCACCTAAATATTATCAGAAATTTCTCGTCTCGCAACAAAGGCCGATTGATTCTGACTGATCACTTTGGGAAGAACTCTCTTCAACCGATTCGTTAGTACCTTTGAAATAATCTTATACACCACATTACATAATGATATCAATCGAAATTGAGACATTTTCGATGGGTTATCCACTTTAGGGATGAGCACAATATTGGTATGATTTAACTCTTTTAGCATCCGCCGCGATTGAAAGAATGATTTAACCATACCCATCACCACATCTTCCACCATTTCCAGTGATGATGAAAAAACCCCGCATTAAACCCATATGGATATGGGTGGGTGCGGTTTAGTTTGGTGCGGTTTTGAGTGAAACCAAAACCAAAACCGTAAATTTTTTATGTTTGGTTCTGTGCGGTTTTGAGGCTAAAACCAAAATGAAACCAAACCATTTGGTTCGGTTTGGTTTGGTTTTAAATGGTTTTGGTTCAGTTTCATTGTTTGAAAAAGCTATTATGGTTACCTAGTTGTATCTCATTTCATCCAATTCATTAAAAAAGTTTTCGTGTTTGAAAAAGCTATTATGGTTACCTAATGCATTATGATATTACCAAAAATAAATTGTTCATCCAATTCAATAAAAAAAGTTTTGGTGTTTCAACTTACTTTGCATCATTCAAGTTTCAAACATTTGCCTTTCCCTTTCCTTTTGCACACTTACTAGCCGAAGGTTTATGAGGTCTTTGAACTTGTGAACGGGCTTAAGAAGCCGATAGTTAGGAAGACCTTGCATGTTGTAAATTTAAAACCAATGGATGGGAAGCCATTGATTTTATGAACTATAACCTTTTGATTGGCTTGGAGGAGGCGGATTCAATTCGTGTAGATGTGTGTATACTGGGCGGAAACCTATCTAGTATCTACCCATGATTCGCATGTTATAAGTAAATTTAACTAAAACAAGTTATAAATCATAATTCTTACCATATTATAGCACTCTGAACTTTATAGGCTAGGAGCTGGAATGAAGGGGAGGCCGGAAGGGAGACCAAGAAAGAGAGTCTGGAGAGTGTTGACCAAGAGAGAGAGTTAGAAACTGTGATGAATCAAGTTGAGCAGTACAGACTAGAAAGAAAAGATAGATTATGTGGAAATATTATGATGTGGTTGAGTCCATACTAAATGTATGGACTCAATGAAATAACCAATTAGAATTTAACATTTAATAAAGTTATGCAGTTTCGGTATCGGTGCAGTTTTCAAAAGCCAAAAATGAAACCAAATCGTTTCTTATGTTGCGGTTCGGTTTCAAAACTAAAACCGTTTCAGAGCCGCAAAACCAAACCATTTGGTGCAGTTTGATTTGGTTCCTATTTCGATTTTGGTTTTCGGTTCCAAGTGCCTACCCCTACATCCGACCCCGGTGACTTCGTTGGGTGCATTTGATAGATAGCATTCTCAAACTTTGCATCAGTCACCTGAGCAATCAACAGGTTATTATCCATTTTCTCTACCTTACTGGGCACACATGGCATAATCTCCGTAAAACTAGCAGGCCGATCCGTGGATAACAAAGACTAAAAATACCAAACCATAATACCATGCATTCGTTGCCTAACAGTACACCAGGTCCCATCCTCTTCTTCTAGCCCACAGATAGCATTTATCTATCTCTGTTTTAAAGTTTGAGCTTGGAAGAACCTTGTATTTTTATCACCTTCTTGTAACCATTGTACTCTAGATTTCGTACGCCAATATACTTCTTCCTTCTTGATTGCTCGTGTAAAATCCGATTGCATCTCCCAAATCCATTGGCCATAAAAAACCGGTTGTTGATACGCATTTTGTAACATTTCCTTCAGACGACAAATCTTTTTTGTTCATTACGCCCCGCCTTTTTCTGCCACATCACTAAGCCATGTTTCACCCTTTTTAAATTAGTCACCAACTTATAGGCAGGGGTTCCACCGTGAACACTGCCCCAACAGTCTCGCACCACCTTAACACACTGTTCCTCCTGATTCCACCATAGGTTATACATGAATCGTTTCTTTCGCCGAGATTGGTCCACCTCTGTCGAAAGTACTAACATTGCATGGTCTGACCCTTTTAGCACCACATGCTTTACTACAGCTTGTTGACAAGATTGCACCTATTCATTTGTAGCAAGTGCACGATCAATCCTTTCTTGAATAAACTTTCTCACGTCTATTCCTCCATGTATACGAGTAGCCTTCAAAACCCAAATCCAACAGTTGTGTGTTTGTCACAAAAGTCTGAAAATACCTCATACTTGTAGTCGTCCACATATTGCCCATTTTTTTTCTTAGATTCTTATAAACTAGGTAGTCCGTTAATACACCTAATTGTTGTGCCCTTTTACGATCATCAGTACTGGCATAAACAACCACCAGCCTCCATTTACAATGGTCGATCACATCCTCAATCAGCACCTCAATGAAAAAATCACCATAGTTAACCAAAACAACATCATTCGCGTCTCTCCAAAACAAGCATATACCAAGTTTCCAATAAAGCCATTACCTCGGGGGAGTGGAGCTGATTTTGCTCCAAAAGATCGTCAATTGTCAGGTCCCCCCCCCAATACCCTGACAGTTTCAACATATGATTTTCATTACGATCGCGGAGACCCTTCGTAGGTGGCCTCCGCTTGGTCCCTTCCAAACCTTGGAATCTTATACGCACAGGTCAAATCTTCTTCGATCACTTCCAAATTCGTACCATCATCCTCACGGCTCCTTTTCACTTCTCATCTCATAATAGCCTCAATTATGGGGAAAAGGTTAAAATGATCCGAGTCCTGAGACAATAACCCATCCCCATACTTCCACCTTCCCTCTCAGGAGTTCTATCATGGAACCCATCATGTTCAACCACAATGGGAATGTTTAGATCAATGTTATGACTAGGCTGCATGACCTCAGTACTTTCCCCATTCGCAATGAGCTTTTCCGGATGGTTCTCCAACACTATCATCCCAGTTTCAGGCGTAATTGAACCTCCCAGACCAATGAAGCTTGCATCAAAAGCTTTCTCCCGTTCCACTCTCTGGTGTTCCTTCTCCTCAGCCTCCACGGCACGACGTCCGTGCGGGTCAACCCCTCCTAAGCTATCCTATCGCTTCCAATTAAACGATGAAGATGAACCACTCTGCCCCCTTAATTATCTTTGCACATCACCTTTACCCACAAAACATGTTCCCTCTCAAATCATATTATGCATCAAGCCCATTGGACACATACAACGCCTCTGTGTCCACCTCTGAAGCCTCTTCACCAAGTTTCTCAACCTTGCACCATTGAGTGACATGCTCCACCTTGCCACAAATGAGGCAATAGTTAGGCAGCCCCTCATAATGAAAATTAATCCAGATCATCCCATCATTTGGAAACTCCACGTTTGCTCCCTTCATAAGAGCTCTCAAACATCAAAGGAAATCTTTACACACAAGAATCTACCAATGCAATCTCGACCATCGTCTTTGTCCACCTCGGCCACTTTACCAATCAAACCCCCTATTGTCGAAGCAATAACCTCCGTCATATTGAGTGGGGAAACATTATGCAATTGCACCCACATTGTAGCCAAGTGAAAGGGCTCTGCCCACTGCCCATGGCAAGCGCCATCAACAACCAAATCAAGCCCCACCGAATGCCCTAATTGACACCCCTCCCTTCCTCTCCATAAACTAGTGAATTGATCGATAATCCCATTCTCATTGACAGCTTTGGTAGAGAAAACCTCAACCACCACACTGTAATGGAAACCCAATAAAGCACCCTTAACAGCCTTCTTTTCAATTTTAATCCCACCTTTCTCCTTCTCTGACAATGATAGACTAGATCCAAACTTCGTTGCCAAAAACTCCATATTTTTCTTGCCAATCATCTCGATTACAAACCTTAGAACCACTAGACTTAGTTGTGCACTGATAGGAATGTGCCAGCAATTCTCCAGTACTCACAACCCACCAAGAATCTGATCCCAAGTTATCTATTTGATCCGGAAAGCGGCAACATAGATCAGCGTCGTCACAGTTTTTGAACCCTAATCCTAGAGCCTTGCCGCACACACGATACCCTCCTTACAAGGACTCATATAACAAGAGATATCGATTGAATAAAAGATCTTAGCTTTAATAAAGTTTTTCGTAGGGATTATGTTTACAAAATAATTCATAATCTATACTTAATTAATAATTTAATAATCTATATTTAATTAATAATTTAATTATCTATAACCACAACATTTTGTTGTAAATTTAATTTTAAAAATTTGATCTTCCTAAGCATCAACCTTCAACTCTTGTCGTATCCAAATTAATTGACGAAGGACGCTCTATTTATTCCAAAATAAACTTCTTTCTTAATACGCAGCCCCCCAAATTGTACGTGGCGAGAGCTCAACAACCCTGAAACCAACAAACAGTTACTTTAGTCTTTATCACAGCATCCACCACCCACGGTCATTACGCGGCAAATCCACCCGTCGCCACGTGTTTTGGCATCTCCATTGTCGTCCTTACCGACACGCCCTCCATTTTCTTAGAAGTCTGAGCGCAAGATTTCTCCTACCTTAAAACCCCCATATCTGGCAGTTATATCTTCCCCAACCCGAAATCCACCAACATTCAAAATTTCAGACAGACACCAACCTAAGACCATGTCCGCTTCAAAACCCACTTCTTACCCATCGGTCGACATGAACGACCTCGCCGAGAACCTCTTCCCGGAGGACGACGCCGTTTCGACAGAAATCCCAGTTACCCATTCCTCCGAGGACCTCCTGGTCAAAATCCCCGGCGCTATCGTCCACCTCATAGAGAAGGACTCGAGCATCGAACTCGCCCGCGGAGAACTCACCGTCGTTGGTCTCCGGCAGAACGGGAATGTAGTCGCTGTACTCGCGCGCGTGGGAGACCAGATTCAGTGGCCTCTGGCGAAAGACGAACCCTCCGTGAAGCTCGATCAGTCCCACTACTTCTTCACTATTCGGGTCCCGGCAGATGGGTGGCCAAAAAGAGGAGAAATTGACGACTCGACCGGGAAGAGAGGCGAATTCGAGTTGCTGAATTACGGGTTGACTTTGGGGTCAGCGGGGCAGGAGGGTTTGCTGAGGGAATTTGATCAGATTCTGGGGAATTACAGTTGTTTTTCGGAGGGGAAGGTTGAGGGGGTGGGGAATTGGGAGGTTTTGGACGCCAAGGGGGAGGAGGTTGGCGATAGGGCCGCGGCGTACTGGACTACTCTGGCTCCGAATGTGGAGGATTACAGCGGGAAATGTGCGCGGTTGATTGTGGCGGGTTCGGGGCAGATGATAAGGGGAATTCTGTGGTGTGGGGATGTGACGGTGGATAGGTTGAAGTGGGGGAACGAGTTCTTGAAGATGAGGATGGGACCCACTTCGCCATCGGAGATTAGTCCGGAGGCCTTCAGGAGGATCCAAAGGTGTGTTTTTTAATTAAACAGAATTGTTTTTTAAAGTTTTTGCGCCTGCCCGTTTGATTTTGGTAACAATCAGGATATTTATTAAAAGAAAAAAAATACGTCCATTTCCGCCTTAAATTCCTAAAAAAATATTATTTTTTTGTGGTAGTCGGTATTGCGAGTTTTTTTCGCAGGAGAGGGTATCAAATATGTGTAGGGGGCGGTCGAATTTCTTCAACCCCTCAGGTGCGAAATTATAGAAGATCCCCTTTAAGATGACTGCTTAAGCAACAAATTTCTTGCTTAAGCAAGCCAACTAATTGAGCTCAATTGTAGATGATTTTCAGCTTCTTAGTTTTGGGTTGAGTTTCGATGATCGGGTGTTACTTGTCAGTGTTGTCAAACTTTGATACTAGAACCACCCTGTTTTTAGCATGCAGCAGTACAAGGCTAACATCCTATAATGTATTTGCAAATTTCAGGGTTAAGAAGTTGACCAAGAGGTCGGAGGAAGTGGCCACCGGGATCCTTTCAGGGGTTGTCAAAGTATCTGGATTTTTCACGAGTTCCATAGTTAACTCTAAAGTGGGGCAGAAGTTTTTTAGCCTTTTGCCTGGAGAAATCATCCTTGCTTCCTTGGATGGATTCAGTAAGTCTTTTGTTTGAGGTGTACATGTTTGGTTTTTGGATTTTGATATTTGAGATATGGAGGTGCTGAGCATGAAATTATGCGAGTTGGAGTGGAATATCAAGTTTTTCCCCATTTTTTGCAATCTTAGGAAATAGGACTAGTGACATTTCTCTTGTGCTCAAGTTTGCTGTTTGTGTTTGAAAACACAGACAAGGTCTGTGATGCTGTGGAAGTTGCGGGAAGGAATGTCATGTCAACCACATCGGTCGTCACCACTGGGCTTGTTTCACATAGGTAATTCTTAATGTGACCATGAACTTTTACTTATTTGATCGAATCCTTATCAGTTTCAGTATTTATAGTTCTGATCACTATATGGTGTAGTTTCTTGTCCGGTAACGGGCCTTAAAATTTCACGATGGTGTTGGTTCCGTGTAGTGCTCATGGTTGCTATTCGGTGGATGTTTGTAGAAGATTTTCTTTGTTGTTTTCTTAATGGTGTTTGTTCAGAACGTTTTCATGAAATCTGCACAACTATTGCAGCTGCTGTAGCTTTGATTCTTAGAGCTAGGTCAATGCAAGTATAGGTTAGATTTGGGTGTATACCAGATCCGTCATAGTTGGTTTGCATGCTTTTCCGAGACATGGATTTAGTTTTTGGCCATAATGATTAGACGAGATTTTCCTTTTTGTTTTCGTATATATTTATATTGTCAACTAAGGGAATCAATGGCTGACCTACATGTGATGTGTTCTTCATTGCAGGTACGGAGAACCGGCGGGGAAGGTGACGAATGAAGGGCTTGATGCCGCAGGGCACGCTATAGGGGCAGCTTGGGCCGTGTTCAAGGTGAGTAAGGCTCTGAACCCGAAGAGCGTGATCAAGCCAACAAAGCTTGTTAAAGCTGCTGCTGAATCCAAATCCTCGTCCAAGTTGAAGTCCTCAAAATAAGAAGTGATATGCCTCTCTTGATAGCTGTTTGGGTTTGTAAATGAATGGATTTCTCCAAATTTATGTTCCTTTTTTGTCAAAGTCTGAAAATGGAGTGTGTGTGTATCTAAAATACGAATGAAAATAGTAATTCTGAGCCTTTGCATGCACCCAAGCGGGTCTTCTGAGAGATTCCACGATCAAACATGGGAGGATCGATAAATATGCATATTGGTGGTCTCATCTTTTAAATTAGATTAAACATGTTGTAATCATCTGCGCAGAATTTGGCATACACAATGAACCAGAGCAGTCTCAGTATGCATCGCTTTTAATGGTTCATGGTCGAATTTCCCTGCTCGTAAATTTGGCGTAGATTATAGCAGATTGAATAAATTAAATAAAAATGTAAATGGAGGCAGATTCTCTGCCCTCCCATTTTCCGTGCCCTTCTATGTTTTCCTGTTTTATGTGGTCACGGTAAAGTCACGTCAATATTTTATATTTTTTTTTATAAATATAATAAGACAAGAAGGTATAGTAATATAAAGTGTTGACGTAGCTTAACTGTGACCACACAAATAGAAGGGCACGGAAGGGCACGGGAAGTGTGAGAAAGACTCTGCCTTCGGCTAATAAGGTGGCGTATTAACTCTGGCTACGGTGCGGTATCGTATGGAAAACCAAAAAACATTTTGGTATTGATTCGGTTCAATATCATGGGGTGTAGCAAATTTTACAGGTTTTTTTGTTTTGTTTGTGTGGGCCCAATTTTTGGTATTGGGCTGAAGAAGGATCCTGGTGGTTATAAAAAAGGGTCCTGCTAGTGTGATAAAGGACATTACAATGAGTTGGACCCCGAATTCCATTTCATCCAAAAAAATGTTGCTCACTAATTAAAATGAGTTCGACCCTAAATTCCATTTCATCCATTCAAATATTGGCATTAGTACAACCAAATGTTCATTTAAACATTCAATAAACGTTCACAACCAAGAATTTCATCCATCCATCCATTTCTTGCAAGGTGCAACCATTCCATTTCATCCATCCATTTCATGCCACATCAAACATTCAATTAAATGTTCACAACCAAGCAATATCAAACGAAATGTTTTATGAAATTAGTACAACCCAAATGAAAAGCGAAGTTCAAGTTCGAGTAACCATAATAAAGTCATACAAAGTTTAGTTCAAATCAAAATGCCTTCAAACCAAAAACATAAATGGTTCAACCTAAAAAGCAATGCAACATCAAAAATGTTCACAACCATTTTAAACTTTATGGCTACTTCCAACATAATAAATGTTAAATTCCACCTTGTGGGCAATCTAAACATATTAACTTCTTCGTTTAAAAAACAATAGCATATTAACTTCTTCCTATGCACAGCTTGCTTGAAATACTCTAATCTTTGTAAAGAGCTCCTCACAAACCTCCCACAATTACTTACGGATAAAAGACCTTGGTTAGCCTCTTCATCCTTGACTCACAATTAAGTTGGTTATGTGAGTTGTACATCTTACATGTAAATACTCCCCACTCAAAATGACTTGTGAATTTCCCACCTATTCATCTTTGACCTAAGTGGATCCAATGCAACTATTTGCGAAGCATTGTCAACCGTGATTGTGAGTACTTTACTTATGCCCCATTCAAAAATAAATTTCAATCAACTTAGCTATTGTGGTTTCGTAGTGGTTAGGAATAACACAAAAATTAATGATCCTCTTGTGCATATTCCATTTGTCATCAATAGAGGGTGCGGTGGGGACCATATAATTCATGTTTGAGTGCTTGTCCAATTGTCCGTGTAAGAGAAATTTGGTGAGCATTCAATTCTTTCTTCAAACTAGCCTTAGATTAGTCATACATTCTTAAAAAAGTTCTAACAAGAGTCCTCCTAGAAAGCACACAAAGCAATACAATTGCAACACTAGAAAACCTATCAAACCCCATCTTATCAACGGTATTAAAGGGCATCTCATCAATAACAATCATATCTACACATCCTTCCAAACATTCGAATTGGTTAAACACCCCTTCAACCAACTTTTTACCCGCTTTCTTATCCCCAAAAAGACTTTATTTTTATTTTTATTTTTATTCATGTTCACGGGGTACTATCTAAATTGTCTTTCAAGATGTTTTCTCATGCCGGTCGTCCCGTTTATAATTGGATCGGCTATATGATCACCCGAGTTTCTTCTATCTTTGGGGCGATAGATACATTTAGCTCTAAGTTTTACTTCTTCAACCATTAACGTTTTCCCCTTTTCATCTTTTACAAGATTTCCTCCTTCATCTTTGACGCTTACTAGAATCTTAACCTCATACGATTTAAAGTGTTCTCCAACCCAACTACGATTACTGTCTAGGAGATGATAATCACTTACCTCATCTTCTTCACCATCTCATTCACTTTCAAGTTCAGCCTCACTTTCGGCTCCTCCATGGGGTCCAAAACCTGCAATAAACAATCACACACAAATACAACGGACATGAAGTTAGCATATGCATAATATTTGAACCTAATTTAAAAATCCAACGACTGATAGGACAAATAAACACTGGCTAGCAAGCATATATCAACACAATTACATTCAGAAGAAATATTGTAATTTAGCAGTACAAAGTGACAAACAAGTTTATTTATTGATATATTGATTGATTTATATGCAGGATATGTGTGTGTGAGGATTTGAAAGAAAAACAAAATAACACCATAACCCTTAATGCTCCCACGGATCGACCTTCTGGTGGACTCGACCCAGGCCATGACTACTAAGTTTTATGCACGCCTACTTTGGGTACAACCAGATAAAGATGTACGAGCCAGATACATAAGCAACATTCTTCGCTATTGACCGAGGTATGTACTGTTACAAGGTTATGCTCTTTGGTCCTAAAAATGCAAGCTCTAGGTAGTGACCACCCATCGCAGATATACCAAGCATGATCACTCCTAGCATGTGTATGGTCCCCCATCGCGGATATACCAAGCAAGACCATCCATGTACCACTACTACATGGTGCAATCTCATCATCACACTTTATACATAATTATACGCACACATGATATCAATTCCACATATCAACCAGCATCTAGTCATGTGGAGCACAACACAAATAATTCCCTTAATCACTATTTCTACTAAAAATCTAATAAATTACCTAACTCATCTCCGGACTTTCATCTCCATCTCATGGTAGGTAGTAATGCCAAGTTCAAATAGGTCTTCAGTTGGCAATCATATCCAAATAATTATCAAACAATATTGAGATCCCATAATTGTCATAACATTCATCATAATTATCAATCACATTATTAAAAAGATAATTAAACACATAACACAAACATCATTAGTACACAAGCCAAATCATATTTAATAAGCATAGGTCTATGGCTAAATATATAAAAATCACATTTCAATAGAAATCATATTTATAAGACCAATTCATATTCACAATGTTACTAATATAAGAAATTAAAGTAATAATCATATCTCTTATATTCAAGTCACTATCTAACCAATATAGGCCCACTAAACTTCAATTAGTCTTGTGGTACTAATTCTAGTATCTAGAACGTTTCGAGACACGTTGACCAAAAGTCAACTCTCGGTCAACGGTAGGGTACACAACATTTTATATTTTTTTATAGAGATAATAAAACAAAAGGAATAGTAATATAAAATGTTGACGTGACTTAACCGTGACCACACAAACAGAAGGACACAGGAAGTGGGAGGGCAGAGAATTTGCCTCCGGCTAATAAGGGTGCGTATTAGCTCTGGCCATGGTGCGGTATCGTATGGTGTGGGAGTGGAACCGAATCCAAAACCAAAAAACATTTTGGTATTGATTCGGTTCAGTATCATGGGGTGTAGCACATTTTACAGGTTTTTTTGTTTTGTTTGTGTGGGCCCAATTTTTGGTATTGGGCTGAAGAAAGATCCTGGTAGTTATAAAAAAGGGTCCTGCTAGTGTGATAAAGGACATTACAATAAGTTGGACCCCAAATTCCATTTCATCCAAAAAAATGTTGCTCACTAATTAAAATGAGTTTGACCCTAAATTCCATTTCATCCATCCATTTCATGCCACATCAAACGTTCAATTAAATGTTTACAACCAAGCATTATCAAAAGAAATGTTTTATGAAATTAGTACAACCCAAATGAAAAGCGAACTTCAAGTTCGAGTAACCATAATAAAGTCATACAAAGTTTAGTTAAAATCAACATGCCTTCAAACCAAAAACATAAATGGTTCAACCTAAAAAGCAATGCAACATCAAAAATGTTCACAAGCCTTTTTAAACTTTATGGCTACTTTCAACATAATAAATGTTGAATTCCACCTTGTGGGCAATCTAAACATATTAACTTCTTCGTTAAAAAAAATAGCATATTAACTTCTTCATATGCACAGCTTGCTTGAAATACTCTAATCTTTGTGAATAGCTCCTCACAAACCTCCCACAATTACTTACGGATAAAAGGCCTTGGTTAGCCTCTTCATACCTTGACTCACAATTAAGTTGGTTGATGAGTAGATTTTATATTATATATTTTACCCTAATCTTAGTATATTTTGGTTAATATTTTAGAAGAATTTTGATGCTTTGAATTGTATTTTCAATATAGGACTTTCGACTTCCTCTGGAGTAAAACAGGACCAAATGGAAGAATTTTGGAATAATTCCAGTTGGAGGACGTTCGTGAGTCACCTAGTTTGATTGTATCAAAATTTGGGATTTTTCCACCAAACGGTTATTTTCTGACGATAAAATAAAGGAGCGATGCGCAGTGTTGGAAAATGACATTTTTGGGCTTAAATTGCGTTTTTGGAGCACAAGATGACCTCGGATGGGTTCGTGGCCTTATGGAGAAGTGTTCAGAATATTTCAAACATTAAATCCAGCTATATTGGGCCAGTTTTGGAACAGCTTATGGGTCCAAAACGTGGCTGTTCAGATTTTAAACGAATTTTACCATTTAATTTAGGGTTATGTTTCCTATTTTATTTGATTATTAATTTTAGTTTCCTATGGGGAATAAAGGACCTGCTTTTAGGGTTTGTGTGGGGGCTTCGCAGATATATTGCTTGGCCGTCTACAATTTTTCACTACGCTTTCTTTTATGCAATTTTGGAGACAAAGATAATTGTTAGGGTTTTGGAGATTTTCTACTTGAAGGTGTTTTCAATCCTTTTCTTAATAATATTTTCTATGATTTCAATTATGAATATGCGTAACTAATTTCTTTTGCTAGGGCGAAGCCTTGAGCCTTAGTATGAATATGTGATTTTTATTCAATTGCTTACGATTGA